TGTTCCAAACCAATGTTGGTAAACAAAGTAAATGTAAACAAACACTATATAGCCTCAATACATGGTTAAAACTATAATTTTTATATAATGGATGGTCAGTCCTTATATTAATCTGTCTATGAATTTGAGAGTGGTTATATTTCTCCAACCCCATCCCTCAGCTTTTTACCGAAACAGGTTGCGGAGAGTCGCTTTGTTATTGTTTCAACTGCTGATTGTCACTTTAACAAGGGCCCCAGGACCAGTGGAAGCCAAATAGCGCCATAACATCAAAGATCCACCACCATATTCTATCATAGGTATGAGGTACTTTTCTGCATATGCTTCCATTTTTCGACGCCAAACCCACCATTGGTGTGCATGGCAAAGGGCTCTATTTCCATGTCATCTGACCATAGCATCGGTTGGAGTTTGATAAACAGAATTGGCACTTCGATTGGAACCGGTGCTATGGTGAGATGACATGAAAATATAGCTTTGGCCATGCACACGAGTTGTGGGTTTGGCGTTGAAAACAGAAGCATGTGAAGAAAAGTACTCAAGGGGGAGGGTCCTAGAGTATTGAAAACAGGGGTGCCAATAACTTTGACCCCCATCTTTTTTAGATTTGTTTGTATTACCTGTTAAACAAAATCTCGTTCTCTGAGCAATTGCATTAGTATAAAATAATACAATTTCCCCCTTTTTTTAGGTCATAGTTAGCCCATGAGCTTAAATATGAAATCTTTACTCCATGGCAGAGAATGGTTTTGGGTTTTCCCCCATCTCTCAAAGCTATGAAAGAAGAAATATACCTGTTTATGCATACAGGACCATTTACCAGCACCACAATTATATGGTCTCATGGTGCTTCATTTTCAGAGACATTGTTTGATTTTTTTATCTTAACAGTGAGTCTCCATTGAGACCAATATCTCTTTTACAAGGGAACCCTGCATACACACAAGTTACAAAATAAAATAAAATATGATGTAAAATACAATACAATATAATACAAATATTCCAAAAAAAACAATCACATTCCTCAGCAAGGAGGTCCCTAAACAAGATTTTGAACTGTCCATGAGGCACCAGAATCTGCAGTTGTAGGGAACTCTGGTTGTTCCATGCATGGTGTGCAAATACACTAAAAGCAGATTTACCTAACTTTGTAGAGACCGAAGGGGTTTCCAGCGTTAGTCATAGATAAAAAGAGAGCAATGGATCGACCTATTTGATTTCAAAGAGGGCCAGCCTACTTTCTGATAAAGAATGCAGTGATGTGTACTGAACCTATCACCTGTAGTAAAATGTAGTGTGCCATGGTAAACTGCATCTAATGATGCAAAAAAAAGAGGCATCTGAAATCACAACCATTATAACATGGATAGATCATCCAGTGTGAGAAATTGAGGATACCAACCAAAAGGTAGAGAAAAGCAAACATATACTCTTAGAAAAAAGCTGTTACCTAAAGCCATAAAGGGTTCGTTGATTTGTCCCTGTAGCAGAACCCTTTTTGGTTCCATCTTCAGATTAAAAAGGTTTCTTGTTGAACGCTTCCTGTCCTCAAAGAACCCCTTTAGAAACCTTTTGTCTAAGATTTTTCAGGGAGCAAATACACAAATCACATTTTCAGCATTTTCTCTTCCAGCCTTTTACAACTAACTCATTACTTGTTGTGAAAAGGTTTAATCTTTGTGACTGGCACTGTGCCAGTTCTTTTAAACTGTAGACTTTCATTAACTAAATGGAAGGGGTTTGTAAAGCAATCAAATTACTCACTCATTGACTCACACCACGCTGTTAAAGGGGAGTAAACAAATAATTAAAAACAGATAATTCATTTCAGACTGCTGAAGCATTTGTTTTAAAGTGCTACTCAAAACCAATTTCACAGGAATGAAATTTGATGGATTTCACACAACACCTAACTAATCCTTGTCTCCTGAAACCTGTTAGATCATGGAGGGTGCCCACCCGAGCGCTGCCTTTCCGTGATGCTTCTTGGCAGCCATAGCTCATTTCCCGCCCTCCGTCTCAGGGCAGCTGTGCAGGCATGCTGGAGCATCTCTTTAGACACATTAAAGGTGCAGTATTCTTAAGAGGATACAGGATATACAGTGGGGGGAAAAAGTATTTAGTCAGCCACCAATTGTGCAAGTTCTCCCACTTAAAAAGATGAGAGAGGCCTGTAATTTTCATCATAGGTACACGTCAACTATGACAGACAAATTGAGATTTTTTTCTCCAGAAAATCACATTGTAGGATTTTTAATGAATTTATTTGCAAATTATGGTGGAAAATAAGTATTTGGTCACCTACAAACAAGCAAGATTTCTGGCTCTCACAGACCTGTAACTTCTTCTTTAAGAGGCTCCTCTGTCCTCCACTCGTTACCTGTATTAATGGCACCTGTTTGAACTTGTTATCAGTATAAAAGACACCTGTCCACAACCTCAAACAGTCACACTCCAAACTCCACTATGGCCAAGACCAAAGAGCTGTCAAAGGACACCAGAAACAAAATTGTAGACCTGCACCAGGCTGGGAAGACTGAATCTGCAATAGGTAAGCAGCTTGGTTTGAAGAAATCAACTGTGGGAGCAATTATTAGGAAATGGAAGACATACAAGACATCCAGGCCCGTCTGAAGTTTGCTAGAGTGCATTTGGATGATCCAGAAGAGGATTGGGAGAATGTCATATGGTCAGATGAAACCAAAATAGAACTTTTTGGTAAAAACTCAACTCGTCGTGTTTGGAGGACAAAGAATGCTGAGTTGCATCCAAAGAACACCATACCTACTGTGAAGCATGGGGGTGGAAACATCATGCTTTGGGGCTGTTTTTCTGCAAAGGGACCAGGACGACTGATCCGTGTAAAGGAAAGAATGAATGGGGCCATGTATCGTGAGATTCTGAGTGAAAACCTCCTTCCATCAGCAAGGGCATTGAAGATGAAACGTGGCTGGGTCTTTCAGCATGACAATGATCCCAAACACACCGCCCGGGCAACGAAGGAGTGGCTTCGTAAGAAGCATTTCAAGGTCCTGGAGTGGCCTAGCCAGTCTCCAGATCTCAACCCCATAGAAAATCTTTGGAGGGAGTTGAAAGTCCGTGTTGCCCAGCGACAGCCCCAAAACATCACTGCTCTAGAGGAGATCTGCATGGAGGAATGGGCCAAAATACCAGCAACAGTGTGTGAAAACCTTGTGAAGACTTACAGAAAACGTTTGACCTGTGTCATTGCCAACAAAGGGTATATAACAAAGTAGTGAGAAACTTTTGTTATTGACCAAATACTTATTTTCCACCATAATTTGCAAATAAATTCATTAAAAATCCTACAATGTGATTTTCTGGATTTTCTTTTCTCATTTTGTCTGTCATAGTTGACGTGTACCTATGATGAAAATTACAGGCCTCTCTCATCTTTTTAAGTGGGAGAACTTGCACAATTGGTGGCTGACTAAATACTTTTTTTCCCCACTGTACACTGGCAGCATTAGTTGAGAGCCATGATAAGAATAAAATACTTCAGCGCTATTGACATATCGTCTTAACATAGCTGTCGTTTTTTCTTAATTACTATAAAGCAAAGCAAACACAAACAGAAAGAAGCTACAAGGTAGGTCAGGACCCTGTCTCCTCAGATCCACTACATCATCCTAAGGGCGACATGTTATAACAGGTATAAGAGGTTGATAGCCTGATGGAGCATGTTGTCATTGGTGATCGATTCTCAAGATGTGCAAAATATATATTTCCTTTGACAGATAAGACTGATTGTGGTTCCCTTGATGATTTATTTGGAGTTTAAAACACTTTTATTACGCCCCACTGCTAGCTGTGTTTCATTTCGTACATCATTTGGATAAGATAAAAATATAGAATTTTCTGTTTTATCCTCAACTGAAAATCATAATGTTATTATAATCCTATTAGAATCATATATTGAGTAATGGCATTAAAATGAATTTATAAGTTAACTTTAATTAAATAGAAACAGAAAGAGCAGAGGTTTGACTATTATTGACATAATATGTTTGACATAATACATTTTGAAGCCTCACAGACTCTTCAGGATTTCTAAATACTGTAATGTAACATGGCTTTTTTTTAAAACATTCAACATATAACACATAACACTTCTGTATGCAACATTTCTCCAAACACAAACCAATAAACTGAATGAACACAAACACACAGTCTTGCTGGACCTTAGACCTGCAGTAGTCGGTGTGCTTCAGGTGGGTGTGGCAGATTTACTGCAGAGCCCTGTCTCTGTCGGTTGCCCCTGGGGCCTGGCACTGATGGGACAGCCAGATAAACAGAGAACCCTGGGCTTTCCCAATCCAGTACCATAGTTAACTGAAAGCCATAACTTCCGACTGCAAAAGATAACGGCAAGAGAGAGCAAGGCAACAGGAAACGACATGAGGTTTTCATGTTTTATGCCAAATACTCTTCAAAGCAGACCCTAGATAAATATAAATATGGGTTGATTTAACAATTGAATGACATTAGGAAACTATTACAAATATTTGAATACACATCTCAGAGTAACTACTTTTAAAACAACTGTATTATATTATGGCTGTCAGAAAGGAGGTACTTCTTAAAACAAATAAATACCTTACAAGTAATTGAAATAAAAATACATTTAAACTTTTAGCATGATTCGGGACGAATCAATCAATGCATATCTTTCAGTTACAGCATCTATAATACATGACAGCAGTTATTTTTCAGCAAAACATTTGTTTAGTAAATGATAGAATAGAAACACTGTTCCCTTTTTCATCATAAAAAAAGCAATTCACAGTACTTCAATGTACATTACAACATAAAGGATAGTATAACTACAAACATACTGTATATTAACCTGAATTCTGAGCAATGGAAATATAAGGGGTACCTACATAATACATTCATTTATAACCCATACATAACACATCCATAAGCATTGTGGAAGCATTTCATTAATGCTTATGACTGGTGCATCCTGATATATCTTAGACACTGGGGATGAAGATTGAGGAACTGTTCACATATGTGTATTTGTCGTCCTGATCCTGGTCTTCCAGAAGTTTCTCCAGAGGGTTGGGTTCTTCAGCCCCAGCAGGGCTCTGCTCCAGGGGCTGCGGCTGAGGGTCCTGCTGGTGCATGGTGGGGGTCACTGGCATGGACATGGGAAGCAGCTGAGACCCAGCCAGAGAGGCAGGGTGAGAGGCAAACTGCACACCCGATGTAGGGATGGTGGTTAGCGGCTGGGCCCATGGGATATAAGTCAGCACTGAGTCCTGGAGGTCCACTTGCGGTAGGGCTGTGGATGTTGGTGCTAGGGTCTGCACCGACAACAGTGGATGTGTTAGAACTAGTTTGTACAGGTGAAGGTGTATTGTACTATGCTCTGTGGATATGACGCAATGTTTACAGAGTTTACACTTAATTCAGTTGACACACGATCAAGATTTGTTGCTCTTTCACTCACCCCGAAGTTGGTAAAGAGAGGCGTGTGTGTGTAGGTGAGCATGGAGGATGGACCCACCACGGTGTAGCTGGGACACATTGGCTGCATGTACATGTCAGTGGTGAGGGGCAGGGTGGTGGTGGTTGTGGTGGTGGGGTCATACTGCTGGAGGTACTCTGGGTAGGACCAATGGTTAATGGGCTGGAGAGCAGTAGCTGCAGGCTGGGCTATCCAACCTGCACAGAGGCCACCATCATTGACTGTGGAGGAGTCATTGGATAGGCTATTAGCCACTTCAAACCCGGAAGTCCCTATGGAGATACCATACTGGGTTAGCACTAGTAGCCAATACTAACATAAAGCTTTAAACTTATCATCCAAAGTAATAATGGGAATATATACTCCAATTCACTTACCAAGCTGTGCATATGAAGGCAAGTTGTTGTTTGGGACCCCTACCTGTGAAAAATATGTTATGATAAATCTACCTGAAGGAAGGGAATCTAAAACGACTCCAAAAGCGTTTATTATTTAAGCTGAGTTACAATGGTATTTGAGCTTTAAAGCTCAGGAGTTTATATTCAAATGCTGTATGCACATTATCAATGGTAAACCACAGGTGTACATGTGGTGACTGATTTTAATCATTTTAAATGCCAACATAATTTAAACAGTAGCTACAAATCCACTGGCTTATATGGTAATGTTCCTAAACCCTGTGTGTTTGTGTAGAACAATGTATTAACTTGTATTACTTCACACTCGAATAATGAGTCAATTATATCCATTGGTGTGTGTGTGTGTGTGTGTGTGTGTGTGTGTGTTTGTGTGTGTGTGTGTGTGTGTGTGTGTGTGTGTGTGTGTGTGTGTGTGTGTACGTGCGTGCGTGCGTGCATGTGTGTGTGACGTATATGGGAGTTTGGAGCAAACAGTGGAATGGCAGGAGAGTTCCGGAACAGGAGACTATTCAATTGAATCCAGACATGCAAATTCAATACCAAGCTGGAGAACTTCATTGTATACTGTATATTGTTGTTGCAAGAGGTGTGTCATATTTTCTATGATGTATTCATCTATTACTTCATTTTGTGTTTCTTTTTTAAAAGACAAATACTACACATTTAGTCAAATACACTTCTTCTACTGATCTGCTGGACCTTTCCCTGAACCTCTGAGAACCTCTGTTTTTAGACTATCAAGTACCTCTGAGAACCTCTGAGATTAAAGACTATCAAGTAATACAGTCCATTTAGTTGGCTATTGTTATGAGAATTATTTAACAAACTATTTCAGTGTCTCTGTGCGTCTCCCAAAAGGATCAAGAAACAGACAGTCCCGGTCTGCATAGTCAGAGATGTTTATTCATTGAGAATTCTTGTCACGCCCTGACTCAGGGGAAGCTTATTTGTTGAGTCAGGGTGTGTATATTCTATGTTGTCTAGATCTATGTTGGCCGGTGTGGTTCCCAATCAGAGGCAGCTGTCGCTCGTTGTCTCTGATTGGGGACCATACTTAGGCAGCCTATTGGCACTAGTGGGTTGTGGGATCTTGTTCCGTGTGAGGTATGTTGTTTGTGTACCTTGGACTTCACGTTTCGTTTAGTTTGTTGTTTTGTCGTTGTTTATTCATATAAATAAACATGTATGCATATCACGCTGCGCCTTGGTCCGTCCCGTCTGTAAACGAACGTGACAGAAGATCCCACCAAACGAGGACCAAGCAGCGTGCCCAGGCGGAGAGAGTAGCCATGTCACAGGTGGGCAATTGGTGGTCATGGGAGGAGATATTTGCGGGGAAGGCCAGCGAAGGTAATGCCCAGCAGAAAGACACAGGCACAGAGAAGCGGTGGGAGAGAGCCCGAGAGACACCCCAATAAAACACATTGGGGCAAAAGGGTGGTTGGCGGAGCCTAGTGTTAGACGGGACCCAACTCCGTACTCTGCAGGAGCGTGTGAGACTGGGCGGCCTGTGCTAATGCCTGTGCGGAAGTAGGCATCCAGCCAGGACGGGTTGTGCCAGCTCTCCGCTTCAGACCTCCAGTCCGCCTCCACAGTCCGGTACGGCCCGTTCCTGCTCCTCGCACCAAGCCAGTGGTGCGCGTTGCCAGCCTGGTCCGGCCTGTTCCTGCTCCTCGCACCAAGCCAGTGGTGCGCGTCGCCAGCCCGGCCCGGCCTGTTCCTGCTCCTCGCACCAAGCCAGTGGTGCGTGTCGCCAGCCCGGCCCGGCCTGTTCCTGCTCCTCGCACCAAGCCAGTGGTGCGCGTCGCAAGCCCGGCCCGGCCTGTTCCTGCTCCTCGCACCAAACCAGTGGTGCGCGTCGCCAGCCCGGCCCGGCCTGTTCCTGCTCCTCGCACCAAGCCAGTGGCGCATGTTCCTAGTCCGGTTCGGCCCGTGCCTGCTCCTCGCACCAGACCAGTGGTGAGTGTGTCCAGTCCTAAATTGTGAGGCCTCTTCATCTTGGTTTCTCAGTTGTCTGTAGACAACTCTCCTTGTACTTTGTTGTCTGGTCTAACTCTTACTCACATTGCTAAATAGTAGCTCAATGTCATAATCTTTACTGGTCCTACACTCGCACATTCTAACACATTTCACACAGTTTCAGGGTGTAATAATTAGTCATTAATAATTATTATATCAGCTATCCCTCCTTTTTTTAACAGGACTTCGATCTTTCTATCTCATTAGGGCCTGTGTGTTTGGAATGTAGTGTTGAGAATGCCATACTGCGTGTGTGTTGTGTGTTGTCAGAGGTAATTCATAGGTTGGTAAGAGGGCTCCTTGGCAAGGCTGTGCTGAGCTGATTTGCATAGGCCCTGTGCCCAGCCCTGCAGCCATGTAGTAACTGTCATGGAAAAACACCTGCATTATATAAGGATAAAATCCCCCTTTTCTACCCTGCTATAGGAATCTGATCTGATCTTCTCCAGGCTCCTTTCAGTTGACGTTGTGCATGTCCAGCCATCATTTCGTTTTTAGGGCATGTTGTAAAAATAAGAAAAAATGCTGAAGATTCTGGTTGACTCTTTAGGTTGACAGGTTGACAATTCAGGTTGACACTTACAGTGCATTCAGAAAGTATTCAGACCCCTTGACTTTTTCCACATTTTGTTACGTTACAGACTTATTCTAAAATTGATTAAATTACTGTTTTTCCTAATCAATCTACACACAATAACCCATAATGACAAAGCAAAAACAGTTTTTTTTACATTTTTGCAAATGTATAAAAAAATTATAATGAAATATGACATTTACATAAGTATTCAGACCCTTTACTCAGTACTTTGTTGAAGCACCTTTGGTAACGACTACAGCTGGGGAGTTTCTCCCATTCTTCTCTGCAGATCCTCTCAAGCTCTGTCAGGTTTGATGGGCAGCGTCGCTGCACAGCTATTTTCAGGTCTCTCCAGAGATATTAGATCGGGTTCATGTCCGGGCTCTGGCTGGGCCACTCAAGGACATTCAGAGACTTGTCCCGAAGCCACTCCTGCATTGTCTTGGCTGTGTGCTTAGGGTTGTTGTCCTGTTGGAAGATTAACCTTAGCCCCAGTCTGAGGTCCTGAGCGCTCTGCAGCAGGTTTTCATCAAGCATCTCTCTGTACTTTGCTCCACTCATCTTTCCCTCGATCCTGACTAATCTCCCAGTCCCTGCCGCTGAAAAACATCCCCACAGCATGATGCTGCCACCACCATGCTTCACCATAGGGATGGTGCAAGGTTTCTTCCAGACGTAATGCTTGGCATTCAGGCCAAAGAGTTCAATCTTGGTTTCATCAGACCAAAGAACCTTGTTTCTCATGGTCTGAAAGTCCTTTAGGTGCCTTTTGGCAAACTCCAAGCGGGCTGTCGTGTGCCTTTTACTGAGGAGTGTCTTCCGTCTGGCCACTCTACCATAAAGGCCTGATTGGTGGAGTGCTGCAGAGATGTTTGTCCTTCTGGAAGGTTCTCCCATCTCCACAGAGGAACTCTGGAGCTCTGTCAGAGTGACCATCGTGTTCTTGGTCACCTCCCTGACCAAGGCCCTTCTGCCACAATTGCTCAGTTTGGCCGGGCGGCCAGCTCTAGGAAGAGTCTTGGTGGTTCCAAACTTCTTCCATTTAAGAATGATGGAGGCCACTTTGTTCTTGGGAACCTTCAATGCTGCAGAAATGTTTTAGTACCCTTCCCCAGATCTGTGCCTCAACACAATCCTTTCTCGGAGCTCTACTGACAATTCCTTCGACCTCATGGCTTGGTTTTTGCTCTAACATACACTGTCAGCTGTGGGACCATATATAGACAGGTGTGTGCCTTTCCAAATCATGTCCAATCAATTGAATTTACCACAGGTGGCCTCCAATCAAGTTGTATAAACATCTCAAGGATGATCAATGGAAACAGGATGCACCTGAGCTCCATTTTGAGTCTCATAGCAAAAGGTCTGAATACTTATGTAAATAAGGTATTTCTGTTTTTAATTATTTATTTTTACATTTGAAAATTTCTTTTTTTCTTTATGGGGTATTGTGTGTAGATTGATGAGGGGGAAAAAGTTATTTAATTAATTTAAGAATAAGGCTGTAACATAACAAAATGTGGGAAAAGGGAAGGGGGTCTGAATACTTTCCGAATGCATTGTATCTAAAATGTTTCAAATGGCATTCCTGTGGCTTCGCTGGCTGGCTTCGCTGACTCAGTCTCTGTTCTCTTTTGTCTCCTGCTCTGTCTTGTTCAATTCTCTATTATAGGATGGCAGGCTCACACTAAATTCATAGTTGTTGTTATGTTTCCCTCACCACTCTAGGGGGCACTGTCTTGGCATTGTGGAGAAGCAGTCCTCGTTTCCTCCTCAGCAACTCTTTGACTGGGTCTCGGACTCGCACCCCTTGATATGGCTTTTCATCAGGCAGCCCTGAGGAAGGAGCTATAGAGCCAATCACAGAAAGGAGAAACTGGTAGTTAGCTTATATCCGTGTGTCATCAGGGCAGCGAAGGGTTGAGCCTGCAACTACAGACCTCTATTATTAATTGATTGCTCTTTAAAGATGCAACATGGAGGTTCAGTTGCTTATTGTTTGTCTCATGGGTGTGGTAAGGAGGTGTGCCCCTTTCTGTCCTGAAGTCATTTCAAGATAATATTTCTGTCCATTTAGGAGATACCTTTTGGCTCGAGAGCACCCACAGAAACAAAAGTTCTGTAAAAACTCTTTAATAAGAGGTATCATAGATGTGATTTGCACCACTGATAGTGGTTCTGATTGGGTAAGTGGACAGGAAGGAACATAATAGAAACAGAAGAAGAAGAAGCTCAAGTGTGCTACACCCAGCAACCTTATCTCTGTAGGCACTAAGAGAGAGCGAAACGCATGCTACCTCAGACATTCTGCAAGTATTAGCTTGAAATGAAACTGGACCTGAGTGTGGTGACCTTTTTAAGTAGGCCAAGTTGGAATTTGAAACACTTCTATTGTGAAACAAATATTTTCAACAACATGAGAACAGCACATACTCACTTGCTATATAGACTGTCATCTTTTTACAAACAAATTATTTGTCAATTTGATAGACTAGAGAAGGCTATAGACAGTGGCGGCTCCTGAAAAAATTCTCAGGAGGGGCAATTTTTCTGATGATTTAGGTGACCTACACACATTTAAAAAAAGATATGTCCAGCAACAACATGAAGACAGGGGCAGCATATAAGTCAATACCAGAAGCATTTATTGACTGATCTCAAAAGTGTTGGCTTACCAGGGTTGGTGGAGCCCTCAGTTTCATCTTTGCCTCGCAAAGCTAACTCAAACACTCCGCAAAACTTCACACACTGGATTAGCCGGCTGAGGATGTGGCGGTTCTTGCTAATGTCGTAGTAAATATATTTGTTATAGTGAATATGGAATATGATATGTTGAGTAAAATGTTGTGCTAAGATCTATTTAGGTCAGGAGCTGGTTATAAGTTCTGTTCCTATCCAATAACAATGGACAAAAGGGTCCTATCTTGTCAGCCTTGTCAGCAGGTGGCCAAGGACAACACCCACGCCATAGGCCTCTCAGTTCTTCCAACTCACGAGTTCTTGCTCTGAGGACACACACACACACAAACACACACACACACACACATCATCACTGTTAAACACACACACACACACACACACATCATCACTGTTAAACACACACACACACACACACACACACAAAAATCCCCTCTCTTAGGCTGAACATTTGAAGACAGAGAACCCGACTCAGAGCCAATGCAACAGTGACAGTAGCCTGCAGGGGACCTCGCCCAACTCATCAGGACCAATCAGAAGATCAGAACTACTAGATTGAACCTACTTCATTTATTGCATAAAATGTCTGCACACAATGTTTCGGGGCTCTCTTCAGATAATAATAATAATAATAATAATAATAATAATATGCCATTTAGCAGACGCTTTTATCCAAAGCGACTTACAGTCATGCGTGCATACATTTTTGTGTATGGGTGGTCCCGGGGATCGAACCCACTACCTTGGCGTTACAAGCACCATGCTCTACCAGCTGAGCTACAGAAAGTGGATACTCATGGATGCGCATTGCAATTGTAAAATGTCAACACAATTGGAGACACCACGTCATTTTTGGAGACATGTTATTGACAGTAAACTATTGTAGATGCGACTGCTAACTAACTAAAACATTTTAGCTGGCTAGCTAATCATCTTAGCTAAATGTGGGGCAAACAATTCAGTTATTTACCGTTAATTTGAGGGATTGGGGTGAAAGAAATCGAGTTACATAGTGATACTTTACGATATACTGTATTGACAATATCGCAATATTTTAGCGCTAGTTGGCTGTACCTGCACCAAAACACCATTATTGTTCCTTCATAGCTTGTTCTCAATCTTTTCACATTGGGAGCCAATTTGTTTTCAGCACTTTTATTTCCATGACTGATCAAAACTCGTTCTCATGGCTTTCTGATCCCTCTGCAACAGACATATGGTGCGCAATAAAATCACAGTATCGAATCGCAATACGTATAGAATCATGAGACTCGCAATGCTGATGCATATATCTTATCGTGAGGTTCCTGGCAATTCCCAGCCCAAGTTCATTTGCCACAACAAATCTCTTCGCTAGCAAACGCGATGTCTTCTCCAAAACGGCAATGTGTCTCCAGCAATGTTTACTTTTTTGACGTTCTATGGCATCTCCACTTTCCAAGCATATATGACCACATGTAATATTTTGGTAAGTGATGCAAATAGTGAACTATGTAGGGCCAGGATGTAAAATATATGTAGCTGCAGCAATTTCTCTTATCTGATATGGTAAGTAATGGGGCTTAATTTATAGCTCCCTAAGAGTTTGACGAACGGGTCCGTGAACGCGATTCCAGATATATTTACCTCTGAATAAACTGCCTTTATTACACCATATCCACATCCAGTAAACTTGTGATTATCAACACTAACCTCATCGTTGTGGCGGCGGACAGCTAGCCTGTATCCCTCCTCATCCAGTTGAGTGAGTGGCAATGTCTTTTTTCGTTCGTACCAATTTTTGGAAAATCCTCGGGTGTAGGACTTTCCGCCTTTAGTAGAAACCTGTTGAATTATTAAATTTGGTCTGGGAGGTCCTAATTGTTTCGTTGCCAATTTATCTTCATTTGTTCGCCGACAAAAAGGAACTTCTTTCAAACAATCCACTCTTTTCTCAGTTACGTTCATGGTTACGTAACGTATGACGAAAGCGCGTAAGTGCAAGCCCACAGACACCCATTGAGATTGTATTGAAGGCTCTGAAATTTGAAAAAAATAGATTTTACATGGGAGTCTATGACAGAAGTTCTGGGCGATTTTCAATCTGACTGAAATCGCCCCAAAAGGGGGTGGAGCCATTTGAAGCACGACTTCAGCCTGATTCGACATTTAGTGGCAGTGTGGCACTGTGGCAGATCAGACGTATAGATTACAACACTGATAACTACTGTTGCCGCGATATAATTGATTAGAAAAAAAATCCCTTCCTTTTCCCGTTTGGCAGTGCGTCGCCCATATCGCCCTATTGAACAGGCCGTCCCTGGCTATAGAGCATTTCATGTTGAGACATTGTAAATAGAGGGAGGCTTTTTCCCATAGGCATGTCATTAATGACAATGTATTCAGAATTTTATCGATGGACTAAGAGTTAATGAAAAATACTTATGAGACGTAAATTATGAGCAGCTTTGTTATCATTGTTGAAAATGATATTTTGGAAGTTGAATTGCTACCAGTTCACTTCTATTCCCTTCATCAACTCCCACTTAATGAATTTGTTTTGAATGAATCATCTTCTCTTAATGATACGAGCCAGTAGATATTTCCTGCACATTTATTATAACTGTGACTCACTATCAGACACACTCCCTGTTCTTTATCAGTGACATAATTAATCAAAAGGGTCAAAAGTTAAACATCACTCAACTAAGGCAAGGCATCTGCAGATGAAATATTACCCTCAATTCATTACATTTTAGTGAGGGAAAAATCATGGTCTTTAGGCTTATGAAATTGGTCCATAAAAATGTAACTTATTTAATACAAATTTGGTTGACTATGGAAATGAATATCATACTGTGTATTTTACTTATACATTTCCCCAGGTTTTAATATTTTTATTAAAAAACTGTGCCTTTAAAAATCACTGTCACATACAATAAGACACTGTTTGTCTGTGCACATGTGCGTGACCAAGGTGTGTGAAACCGTGGGAGCCCTTTTCCCGTTGTCAAGTGTCTAGAGACTGATGATTATCTATAAGGCAGTGGTGGAGGCCCTATGGTTTCAGATACTGGTGTTCTGGCTCAGATCTGGCTGTCTTGTTAGCTGGAGCGAGTCCTGCCACTTTCCTCTCCAGATCTAAATCAAAATCTGATGTATTTACCCCTCCCAGCACAGGAGCAGTCAGCTGATTGAACTTTCTAACCAAATAACAACTTTAAATTACCTTCACATTATTATTCAACTCTATAAGGCCTAATTACTAGCAGACAATATAGCCCTCAGGTGGAAGTGTGTGTGCATGTGTATGTGTGTGTGTGTGCGTGTGCGTGTGCGTGTGCGCTCCCGAGCCAACGAGAGTCAGTAATGTGTTGTCACATGGCCAACAACTGAGATAAGGGACTTCCAAGGAAAGCCGGGGCGGCTGGACCACTGATTGTGGAATGTTGTGTAGTTATATGTCAGCAGCCATTCTGGCTCACTTGATAAAAAATATAAGCCTTTTTTAAATTGCAGGATCAATGAGTTAGCCAGCTAACTTTCCTAAATATTCTGATATAACTTCATATTTCTGAATTGTAGCTATTTTTCGACTTAACTACAGTAAGAAGTTGTTGTTTCATCCAAACAATGACACTATACTAAATAACCAGCTACTGAACTTACAGTAAAACTTTAGGCAAGTAAAAAGATAAGCATAATCTTAAAAAGTTAACTATCCCTTTAATTACACTAAGTGTGTCTGTACTGTAGGCAGACAGCCGTCATGCAGCCCTTGAGAAAGCTGTGGGCTCTGACAAGCAGTAACCACATGTATAGCATGCAAGTCAGTGGGACAGGAAGCTACAGCACGCAGTCATACTGTTACAGCCAACCAATGGAAGGTAAAGCGTTAGCTATATTGCTGTGAAACGGAATCAAATGTTTCCTTTTTGTATTTATTTTTGATGCGTTTGGAGGACCTTCATTGTTTTTTTCTACAATGTGTTATTATATTCCACTAGCTATGGGTGAATATAAACTCTCAATGTAACTGGAGCAACCAGAAACTGTACAAATGGAAATCAGATTGAGCGAGTGTGTGAGGGAATTATGTTGAAGGGGTGTCCACATTTAATATGAAAATGAGCAGTTATAATGATATATTTAATTGACATGAAACACATG